TTGTAAGTGAGTCCAACCCTTATCTGAAACTGCATGGAGTTTTCTCAAAACCTTACAAACTACTATAAGACCCAGCAACTCCTAATAGCCTATACATTAGGCATATATGGTCTAACAGGTGTAGATGCCTCAGCTATTAAATCCAAATGTCCTACAGACATCTGCACACCTGTGTTCACTGCAAGACTCTTCAGAAGATGTGGGATCAACTTCAGTGTCCATTAGCTAAGGAACAAAGAAAATGGAATATTATATATTCAAAAGCTATTAATTGGGTCTAAAAATGAAAAAAATCCTCCTCACAACCTAGAGGGCATTCTGTTAAATACTTAGACACTGAAATGCACCATCCTACTGATAGAGAGTATTAGAAGTCCCATTCACAGAAATGGTGGCTTGCCGGAAGCTGAAAAATAGGAGGGGGTGGGGAAGAGTTGGCCAAATGACACAAAGTTTCAGTTAGTCAGGAGTAAAAGTTCAAGACAGCTATTGCATATTTTGGCAGCAAGGTTCTACAATATATACTTGAAACTGCTAAGAGAATCAACATTCTTACAACACAAATTAAATTTAGCTTGACTTGGCTATTCCATAAGGTACACATAGGTCAAAACATCACAAACCCCCTTGATACACATATATAATTTTAATATTCAGTTAAAAGTCTTTAATTAAAACAAAAATAAAATAGGAAGCCAAGGAGGTGAACTGATCCCCACGCTGGGATCAGAGGTTTTGCATCCTGGCAGTCATTCCTGAGAGCCTCTCAGCTGGAAAGTGAGTGGTCTGGAGGAGAAATACCAGACTGCAGAGAAAAGGCAGATCCAACCATTCCTTCCCCTCGTCACTACCACTACGTGCTTTTGAGACAATCCTCTAATATGGCTAGGCCACAGCTTCTTCAATAAGCAAACAGTAATTCAGGTTTATTTACTAATTTGACCTAAAAGTCCTGTACACTGAAATTTCTAGTAAACAGACAGCAAAATCCAGCCCCACCCCATCCCCACGGCCACCGTGCCTAACCTTGTGTCTTCCTTACCTAGAATGAAAGCATTAGAAAGCTCTGTTTGGCTCATCTGCATGACAAAATGGACTCACACATAAAGACTTCAGTCCCAAAAACAACAGTAATGACTCGGGATCCTCAACCTCAGCTGACAATTACACCAAAGTCCACTAAGAAAACTACCCTGGGCTAGACCCCCCAAAACAAGAAACTCGGAGGCTATTTAAAAAGGAGGGAAGGGCATTTAACAAGTGCCACATAATGTTACAGACAAATGCGGATAACTTTAGTGCAGCAGATGAGGGTTTTAAGTGCCATTTTTGAACTATCTGCAGGAGTTAGTCATTTAAAGATCATTTTCCTTATTATATCAAACTCTCATAATTTACCTTATAAATAAAACGTTAGCAAAAGCTATAATTCTAATTTATATAGCATCAAATGCATACCCTAACTTCGGCAATTTAGTTGCAGGCGTTGCAGGCGTGCTAATTTTTAAATGCTCTAAAACCATTCTGAGAAGTGCTTTCCCTTTTCTGCTAGTGCCCCCATTTGTTTTTAAGGACTACTTCAAACGCCTTAGCTGAAACTGCACAGGGACAGCTGCTTGATACGCTGGGCGTATTACCGCCTTGCTGTACCGCGTCGCTCAGCGCCATTCCTCTTCCCTTTTTGGACTCTGGCTTGTCACTAAGCAGCTATTTATTAGTGAGTAGATACAGTGATGGTCATATTATGCATACTGATATACCCTAAGGTCCCTTTACTGGGAAATGAGAGTATTTGCCCATGTACACTTTATGTCTATGTTAATGCCTGCACTTGCTTTAACTTCCCCTAAGTCCCAAAACACATTTCAAGATTTGCTAACTGGAAAACTCATACCAATGCACTTCTCTGTTGATCATTTTAGATTATGGAAAATCTTCATATCTGTCCCAAATCTTCAGAGACAAAAATATATTTTAAAGTACTGTGTTCTAAATACAACATCATACAATATTTAATTTTTATTCATTTTATATATACAATTTCATTTTAGCATGAACTATACAAACTATTTATGCAAAATAATAACTTTAAATTTGTACATTGGCTCAACTAGTTTTTGCACTATTCCCTTTGATAAATGCTTTTCTTAAAAAAAAAAAAAAGCACCAAAAAATGCAAGATACAACTAATACCACCTCTAGTCACATCAGTTCCTTAAAAAAATCTTAAAACTGAAGACCAAGTCATATAATCTGAATGATTAAAAAGAGCCAAAAATCAGATTTAAACACAGACACACACACACACACACACACACACACACACACACACACACACACACACACGTTTTTTTTTGCATCCAGTTTTCCAGGAACATAAATAACCCAGATTGTGTTTCCCATATTTCTTTTTTCTTCTCACTTGTTTAACTGCTGAGTTATAAACACATTGTCTACTACCAGAGACACATATTTTGTTCTATAGATTCATTCCTTGAGAACTATGTTCTAAATCTTGCACCCACAATCCATTCAGAATTTAAAATCTAACTTGATTTCATATAAAAATTAATCCGTGAACATAAAAGGCCATATATAAACTAAAATCAGCTCTTCTCTCAATATCATTAGTTGAGTTTTAACTGGTATTAATCATAGTTTGAAAGTACAAACACACACACATACATACACACACACACACACACACCCCAAAATTTATTTTCTATCATTGGACATGATAGGCAAAAAATTTAATAGTGCTCAATCATATTTATGCATTGCAAACCTTGCTGATATACATACTAAAATTCTAATATGTTGGGATTTCAATGTTTATTTACACTAGGCACACATTTGGTCTATATTTTCCTTAAAATTTGGAATATGAAAGTACAATTTCTAATGCAAATAAAAACTACAAAAAATGGTTATAAGCTTGCCTTGTATTAGAATCTCTTTTGTCCGTCAATCAACAATAAAGTATTATTCTACCATCACAAAAGGGGAACCTTTAGAGGCAGTAGAGGACTATGGGTTGTGCAAATGTGCAGTTGCTAAGAAGCAAATATGCCTCTCTTCTAATCAAATAGCCCAGCTCAGCAATGCCGCTGGCTTGGGGCAAGAAGCAAATTCCACCAGCCACAAACTTAGAAACAGCCTTGAATTATTTGTTGCTGACCGCTGGCTGAACCCTTCCTGATGAGCGCCATCACCATTAGCCACTACTCTGTGTACTCCATCAACTGATGGCAACAGCAGCGTGCTACAGCTCAGGCTACAAGAAATTGATCAAACAGGGTAATGAGACTATTTCTTCACGGAGGTTATTTTAAATGAATATAAATATTTTCTTTCTACATAATTTGCCACTGAAAGGTCACTGAACTCTCTGTGATTTCAAAGAAAAATGTTCTACTGCCCCTTTACATATCTGAGTTTGAGATAAAGCCAACAAACAATTCAAGACATTTTTTTGGTATCAGATGCAAATTCTAATGAGCTGACATTTCTGACAACAGATGACTTGTGATATTTAAATTTCACGTTAAATTGTAGCTAAAAACTGATAAAATGATGCTACTCTATGAATACAAAACTGATCATGATTTACCAATTAAAAGCACTTACAAGTGCATTTCTGTTTAAAGAAAGCACAATTAATCTCTAATGTGGGTGATTCTGAGAACATGAATCATATGTATGCCTTCTTAGCTCAAGTTATTAAAATTTGATATAATTATTGTGAATTATTTAGTGAAGAATTCATTTTTCTATAGCCCACCTCCTTCTGCTAGACAGCAGAATAAAGTGCATGCTAACCATTCTAGTCAGCATATGGATCACTTCAGTGACATATGACTTAGCTCTTCTTACAGAGTGACATTCACTCCTCCTTTTCTTCACATCCTTAGAACCAAAAAAATTATGAACAACTGGACTTTAGCATCGTATCACAACCAAACTACATCAATTTAGCTGTGCATTTTGCCTAACACTCTGAAAATGTTCTTCAAAGTCAACTTCATAATTGCTGCTTACTAATATCATGGTATGAGAAGAATGCCCCTAAATCAGTTGATGAGCTTCAAATATCCTTATGCCAGCAACTAAAAAGATTCAAGGTTCACATTTCTATCATCAGTATCCTTTCATTATTATGAAACAACATAAATTACAAAATTAAAAACTCAGGAGAAACACTTCGATATGAATGAACAGCTCTAGAAACTTTCTTGAAATTATGTGCGTTCTGTGATGAACTAATGCAAATTTGATCATGTAAATGCCTATCAAAATGAGTTGCTTTATATAAAAATCCTTAAGAGCTTCAAAAATTAACTTTATGATATTTATTTTAGAAATAAATTATGTCTGGTGAAAAATGGCTTAAGTTTGTACAAATGTATGCCTGAACATATCTTTTCAATTACTGACACTCAGATGAACTTTTCATAATCATTCTTTTAAATAGTTTGTGTATTTTATTAGACATGAAAGTAAAACGCCTCATCTACAAAACAAAACAAAAATATAACCAAATATCCATATTTAAAAAGATAGATGAAGAAAGGAAGACAGTAATGCAGATGTTAGAAGGCTATATGCACACTGGCAGATACCTAAATACTCGTGTTTGGGTCATAAAGGCAATGAAAACGGGACTTTAAACACACACTCAAATAATTTTGAAAACCAATGCACAGGCTTTGAATGGAAGAAAAAACCTCTACCATTAACTTGAAATTAATCTGTCTTGAAAGGAAGAGCTACTGAAGAGCTCAACAGCACCAACACAGGCAACAGAGCCCCAGCTGACACACAGACCCCGTGTCGGTGTGCACCATTCTTCTCACAAGAAAGCCTTGCTGTGCTCTCACAGATTCCAAACAAGCCTCTCTAAACAATAACCAAGAATTAGTTGAAAGAAAATCAGGCTCAAATGGCAATAGACCGCCTATAAGCTATCTAACAATATGACAAATTCATATTGTTTATAGCAACCACAATGAACCAATGTAACTTCTTGTGCCAAGGAGCCAGATGGTACCGCTGGAAAAAATTAAGTCTACAGATTGGCAGCTCGACCCTGTGAGTATTGCCCAGGGGAGGACAAAGTGGAAGAGGGGCGGGAGGTTCAGTATGATGGGGATAAATCAATTACTACCAACCCACTACCTCCTTCCTATGAAACCCTAATGACAGATTCTAAATACCATGCCAGTGAGTTCAGGTTTTACATAGTCCAAGCATTTCTTGGAAATGATAAATATATATTTTTAAAAAACAGTAGAATGTAGTTTCAGTTTTCAGCACTGACGAGAAATGACTAAAAACTTGACCCAACCCTAGAAAAATCCATATGCAATAAAAACTAAAGCATTTCTGTAGAGCTGTTGATGAGAGGGATGTATCTTTTTTTTTTCTACCTTCCCTTTTGTTTTGTGTGTGATAATGGCATTTGCTAAATTCTGTATATTTTCTTCTGCCTAGGCAATGGCTCCATATGATGGTCTTGGAATTAACTGATTTACAGGGTTTATTTTTTAAAATTGCTTTGTTTATGTTTTTGTTCACAATGCAGTTCCCATTCTGTACTATCTACAAACTGCTAGAGAAATAGCTGTATCTCAAGGCAGGTTCCAAGTCACATTTTAGAGTAAAAATAAGACATGTTGTTATGCTGCATAATGTGAGAAATGTCTTTTCTGTTTTAGTCAGGCCTTTAAGTGTAGGACGGTTGGGCATTTGGCGATGACTACTGAAGCTTGAGTACTACCGTCTTCTTAGGTCTTCCATCACTTGTGAGTACACGTACACATGCATGCGCACACACATGCATGGATATGTGCACACTGACACACATGGCTGTTTGGCATTACTCCTACTGGAGTTACTCAGAAACTGAGACAAACTACAAACAGTTAAAGCAGAAAACTCACACTTGACTTTAATTCCATGCACATAAAATTTACAATGTAAATGTGTGTTGATGAATTTAATATATTAGCAATTACACCAACAGATGGCCTTTGAATTTTGTCTCAAGTACCAATTGGTGACAGATCAAAACAGATTTCATTAATAGGTAAATTTGATAAGGCAAGAAAGTTCTCTGGTTACTTAGTTTTTGAGAGTTAGAAGTGAATTGATATGTAAACCTTCTAGAAGAGTATAAGTGGATCAGGCACATGCTAATCTGTCCAATGTTCCCCAAGCCTAACCAGGTGCAGGACAGGAGACACATCATAACATGTTGCCCTATATGCTATCCCTAACACAAGCACTAACAACCACAGTGACTGAAATTTCATCTAAGAGGATATGCTTTTCCTAGACCATACCTAACTCTTCCTCATCTAACAAAACTGTGCGCATGTACTTCAAGTAGTTTGTCAGAAACACATAAAATTTTAAGCAGGAGTCAACTTCTCAGGTCTCCCTCCACTGAATCTTTGGGACAAATAGTTGTTCAACCTTCACGTTTCTGAACTAACTAAATAGCATACTAGTAATGTGTTTTACAGTCTCGGGAATACAGCTAATTTGCAGAAGTATCTGTTTCATACAGGTAAGTAGTTTGTATATCAATGAAGACTGATAACACACAGATACAAGAGCAAAGAGAGATGATTAAAAGGAATATAAAACTGAATAAGCAGTACGTGACAACAGGCACCTTATTAAAACTCAATGAGAAACAAAACAAGGCACAAAGTACATATCAAAGAATAGTTATAAACTAGAGGAGCTACCATATATAAAGTCCAACCATAATTCATATACAAAATAAGCTTATCTTCCACAGGAAATTATCACACAAAGGAAAACCACAGATAACAGTATTGCAATTCTAATAAATACAACTCAAGGCAGCAACATTAAGACTTTAGTTTTCTTTCATTATAACATAGCCATGATACAGATTTCTTCCTTTTTAAAAACTCAGATATTAAAGAAACTTATTTTTAAAATAAGGATTTATGGTCACAAATAAAATCCTCCATCTATAAAACAAAATCCACTAATAAGTTCTCTTAAACTTAAAATGTAGCATAATGTAAAAAAAAATTGTCTTGATGTTACTCTACAATAATTGTGTATTGTAGTTTTCTGGTCAGGTCTAGAAATAGTTAACTAAACAAAGGACATTCTGAATGTCAAGATCAGCCTCATTTTAACATGTTTAGCATCTTTATAACAGAATAACCCAACTAATGAGTCTGTGGTTTAGAGCTCATTTTTATCAGATTCATATGCCACTGTTTCATCATCTCCTATTGCCCAACAGAGACAGAATGCTAAACACATTTCATTCAAATAAGAGACGGCGGCTGGTGCATGTCAACTGTAACACAGACCTGCCTGTTGAATACTAAGTCATAAAAAACGACTGCAGGCTATCAACTCCCCTTTCAGCTATTATAATGTAACATAATTAAATGTAATAATATCCAACTTAAACCTCTATGTTCAAACATGGATTAAAAATTCCAGAGGAAAAAAAACTACAAAAATCAAGTTAAACATTCAATACCTTAGTTACCTTGCAACATTATAATATCCAAGAACTATTTTGTACAGGACAGGACATGTGCTATGTGCCATGCACTTATGCTTACTGTAATCTTACAAGATACTATAATTATCATTGGTCTTATAAATTAAGAAAAGGCATAGACAACAAATAATTTCTCCAAAGTCACAGTGTCAAGCCAGGACTAACCACGCTGTTTATGTTATAATAATCTGCACATTAACCACAACAGTATAATTTATCCTTGAACTAATGAAACAAGGTTTAGCCTCTTTAAGGCCCATGCAAATACTAGGAAGTATCTGGTCTGCTTTAAATATGGTTTGATGCTATAAGCTGCCACGACAAAACACGGTGACGGTGACATAACATGATAACCAAATTACAAGAAGAAAAATAATTAGAAGGAAAAACCTAAGATCAGACAAACAATAAGACGAATGGCAAAGCTACCACAATAAAATGTATCTAAAATGTATCACAATGACTGTATAATCACAGTAAGTGAAGGTAATTAATGACTTCTAAAATTCTATAAATTGGGATCATATGCTTACCAACAAAAGCTGCAGTTCTGGTTCACCTGTGAGGAAAGTTAGGGCGGATGCCTCTATTCTGAACATCTCAGTCCATCTCCTACTACAGTCTCTGGCAAACCTTATCTTTCTCATGTTTCGACAAATAAACTAGTGACTTGCTATATCTCTATCACACATCTCAGTATTGCTCTCAAAGAACTTGGACTAATCTCCCAGTATTCCTTCAAGTTTAACAGACCCGATCTCTCTTTTCCACTTCCCCGTTTGTAGTTGCTACTGTTTGTTTTTACAGATGGCATCACTTGCTCAAGAGAAGAATCTAAGGATCACGACGCACACAGTCATGACGTCTATCAAGGCTTGCTTTCTATTGCTGGGATAAAAGGCCATGGCCAAAATCAGCCTGGTAAGGAAAGGGTTTATTTCACTTTGCAAGTTGCAGTCCACCGTGCAGGGCAGTCAGGGCAGGAGCTGAAGCAGAGGCACAGAGGAGCACACTCACTGGCTTGCTCCCCGTGGCTTGCTCGGCCTGCTTTCTACCACCCAGGACCTGCTCAGGGTTAGCGCCACCCCCACTGGGCTCTCTCATATCAAACCTTAATCAAGAAAATGCCCTACAGAATTGCTCACAGGTAGTATGATGGAGGCATTTCCCCAACTGACATTCTGTCTTCCCAGAGTGTCAAGTTGACAGGAAGGAAGGAAGGAAGGAAGGAAGGAAGGAAGGAAGGAAGGAAGGAAGGAGCACAAAGTCTATCACTCATCCTTCCCCATGTCTGTCGAGGCTCTCAATGCCCTTGGCTCTGCCCACCACGTTGAACAATGATCTTCAGCTGGGCCTTTCTCAGGCCTTTGCCTCTGAGAAGTGCACCAAGCCCCCATGGCCCGTCTTCCTTCTCCACTTCCAGCTGTTCTGACACAACAAATTAAATTCTGTGTTTATTCGTGTGTGTGTGTGTGTGTGTGTGTGTTTGTTGTTTAAAGTGGTAGAAATTAAGCTTAGGCTTTCACAATGTTAGGAAAGCACTCTACACTGCGCTGTATTCCCAGTCCAATATTATTTGTCTTCTGATTCACTCCTCACAACCCTTACCTCTCCTTGCTTTATCTCATATTTTCTTCTCCAGTCTTCATTCTTTATTTGGTGGTAATACCAACCAATTATGACTTCTGTTAAATATAGTAACTGATGCTCCAAACTGATAAATGTAAGATAGATGCCACTTCGTCTGCAACTACCTATTTGTCTCTGTAATAAGAAAGAACTAGAATTATTTTCTGAGAACTGAGACTGCCTGCAGGCCAGACCCCTTAGGCCACTCTAAAAAAGCATGCTGGTCCTCCATGCAGGCACCAGCCTCGTTAAGCCCTCATTCTCTCAGGAGCCTAAAAGCCCTTCCTCCAATTCCTTCGCCTAAAATAAGATGTATGATCTGCCTCAAAGTCAGTGCTCAGAAAGCACATCCCATGCTTCTCTGCTGTCTGGTACTATTAAAGCAGTGCGTGTGAGCGTAGATGGAGTGAGAGCAACACAACTAGGTTCCCAACGCAGGGCCAAACGAGGAAATGAGGGCCGGGGGGAAGCGAGCACTGAGGGACAGCTGCTGCAAAGATATACCTACAGAGAAAGCGTAATACAACACAAACCCAGGGCCACCCGTTTGTTCTTTTCTAAGAGGAATTTTTAGTGGATCCACACAAATTTCCAAAAACTGAAACCATGATTTAGCCAAATAAGCTATGCCTTTAAACCGAATTTGGAACATGGCCTAACCAGTTTGAGACCTCTGTTCTCCACACTCTTTATACTGTCTTAACTCTAAACCAAAGCATCAGAGAGTTGTATTTCCAGGCCAAGAATTTACAAATGTCTTCAGTAGAGGATCAGACAAGAAACATCCTAAGTAAGCATTGTGAGACATATGGTGTTTGTTACAATCGTCATTGTGCATATCTTAACAGTAGGGATTATCATGGAAATTGTCACTATGCCATTCCATTGTTTTGTAACCCTGAGAGGTAATACTTACATAAACTAAGACAGCTATCATGTTGCTAAGCAATATCCTCCGATGGCACCATCACATATGTGGTCCATCATTTACCAAAATATCACTGAGGAGCACAACCAGTGTTACTGCTACTGTTGTAACATGAAAACAACTGCAGATAAATGTAAAAAATGGCATGACTGTGTTCCATTTTAAAACCATCTATATATAAATGGCAACTGACCAGACTTACCCCAGCATATAGAAGCCAAGCCCCTGATATTCTGCCTCCCATAAAGCAACTTGTCCTACACTGTTCTGCTTCATATTTGAGCTAATGGACCTTTTAAGATGGAACTCCAAGTGTTACTGACCTAAGAATTTTATCTACTACAAAACCTTCAAGACAGCCCTACACATGGCATGATTTTTTTAAAGCACCCTTACAAGAAATTTCACTTGACCCTGGTCCTACTAGGAGCTGTATCTCTTTTTAATTATTGATTTATTTCTACTTCAAGAACACTAAAAATAATATGCTAGATTAGTTTTCTACCTTTGCACTGACTCATAGAAACCTCAAAGTCAAGCAGGCAGCTCCCCTCCTGGCAGAGCTGGAGTCCTGTGGGGTGCAGAGGAGACACGGAGACTGACCCTCGTCTCCCAAGTTCTCCTGCCCATCCTTCCCTTCATCTCCTAACTCATTTTCACCTTGGTTTAATATACATGTCTTTGGATGTTTCTAATGCCTCGATTGATTTTAGAAAACAGTATGAATTGGAAAAAATAAAATCAAAAGCAGTCCTCGAGGCTGGAGAGCTGGCTCAGCAGGCAAGAGTGCCCACCTGCAGCTCTTGTGAAGAAGCTGGGTTCCATTCCCGGCATCCATGTGGCTCCCAACCATCTGCTCCAGGTGCAGATCTGATGCTTTCTTCTAAGTTACCTGGGCACCAGGCACTCACGTGGTGAACAAAGGAGGTGAAACACACATACACATCACACAAACAAAACAGTCCTAATCAGGATAAATCCAATTCAAATAGTCTAAAATTCTAATTTTAATTTATCTTCAATCGCTACAATTCTGCATTTTGTGTCAGTGCCAAACGCTAAGAGTGATGCTTCCCACCACGTACTGCTAGAAAGAAAAGAACAGCCAAACAGCAGTTGAGTTTGTTTCCTGTTTTGTTTTGTTGAGACAGGGCCTAGTCATATAAACTGGCTGGCCTTGAACTCTGGGCAACCTTCTTGCTTCAGCCTCCTAGTGCTGATATTACAGGCTAGTGCCGTGATAGAAAATGTGAAAAGCAAACAAGTGTTACTAAGCTGAAAGCTGGCCCTCAGGGAAGGTTAAAGGTTTCACTAAAAATAGCTGTGTTGGGGAGGAGCTCAGTGGGTACTTGTTACACGCTTGTAAGGCCCCCAACTGAATCTGCAGCAGGGCAGTACACACATATATGCATACATACATGCCCACACAGAAGCAAAGTTCGTCAGTCTAGACAGTTAGCACTACTTTTTTTCTTGTGCCTCCAGCTACTCCCTGTATAAATCATTTTGACTTTTTGGATGTAACATTATTTTGAGTGATTGCTTTAGAAACAATGTTCTCTAAAGAGACTGAAATGCCCACTGTTGACTAAGCATGAAAGAGATGTATACCATCTACATTGGCCATGTATTCTTTCTACACAGCTTTTATGACCTCTCTGTCTAGCTACACTTTCAGGCATCTAGCTTGGAGCAGCCTTTTTGTTCTGCCTGCTCTGAACTGTTGCTTCTTTCCTTAAGATCACTCCAGTTTTCCGTCTGACAATGCCAACTCCCCAGTCCTCATGCAGTTCCAGTTGGGCTGGACTGGGACACTAACTCAGTCCCAGCCTATTAGAGCACACCACACATACATATACACCATAGAGACTGACTCAAAATAAACCCAACAGCCAAGCCACAGGCTTCAAGAGTAGCCGTTGAGGGATTTCTCTTTTCTTGGGACTGGTAGGCTAGTAGAAAATATCTAAGAAGCTGTTGGTTGCTGTTAGAGATGATTTTTGCTGCAACACCCTACAGGAACATTGTCTCCTCACAGGAAGCTAGGCTTAGAAAAGCAGGATGTGAATCACAATGCTCACCACAATCGAGTTCCTACCTGTATCTAGTAGGCATTAAGCAAGATGCCAAGCACATCCTTCTCTCATGGATAAAATAGTATAAAATCATGTCTGCTTTTTGCCTAAACTGATCTGTGCTCTAACAGTCCTAACAAACTTATCCCTTCATCAGATTATTTATTATCGCCATGATCCACACATCAGAAACTTCATTCTCCCAGACCTGGCTCACACACCATCTCCACTGTCAAGTCTGTCTTCATTCCAATCATAATTTTGATCTTTGTAACTTCTATGTTTCTTGTAGAAGTTCCTTGAATTACAGTTAATATTTACATCCCTATAACCTACTAACCTATGAGGTTCTTAAAGTTTGTGAGGTACCTTAATAGTCATCTTATTCTCCTCAGCCTACCCTAACAGTAAAATCTACTGAATTAAACTTTAATCTATAGAACACTCTGCCTAAAACATATAATACTGTTACCTTTCCTTACTACCTATATATTTAAAAAAAATCAATTCCTTATCTGTTCTCAGGCATATTTTCTTTTAGAAAAGAAATCCTATTCTGGGCATATTTTCTTTTAGAAAAGAAAACCTATTCTAGGCATATTAGATGCTTACAACATACATATATTCCAGGAAATAGGTCCCAGGATACCAATACCAAAACAAGTCCTATTCAACGTACGAAATGTATTTGTATTTCTTTTCCCCACGGTAAAACATTTTACTGCTTCTTGATATTAAAAAATTATTTTTATTAACCTCTGTTAGTGTTAAAGAAAGAGATGAACAGGTTCAAAAGAGAACAACTCAGGAGTGGTATTAAAAAGTAAGAAGGTGCTTCTGGGGACAGTCACACAAACTGAAGCAAAAGCACACCACCGAAATGAAAAGACTTTTCTGACCATCATTAAGTATGATGCTTTATGCTTCTTTAGGCAGGAAAAAGAACTAGACAACCATTCAAAGGACATTATCTTTTTCTCTAGATGCTGCAAATGAAAAGCTTTCAGAATCCCCATCCCTTGGCTTTCATACGAAAATATAATTAAATATCTAATTATAACTCTGGAACCTGAATATATATTTGACAATAAATATGAAATTAGAATCCCTAAAGTTTCTCCACAGTGAAAACAAACTTCCTATTTAAATTGAAACATAATTATGGCTATGAAAGAAGACACAGAAAAGATACAGGACTCAAATAAGAAAAAATAATAAGGTAATACTTCAGTATTCTTGTGATAATTCTCTCCATACCCAGTTTCCCACCACCCACCCTAAAACACCAAACTAATACTTTTGTAAAACAATGAAGCAACTATTACTAGGGGTGAGGGCAGTTATGCACACGGATAAAGCAGAGACGTCAAGCTGCTGTTAATGCTTTTAGTGCTTACTCTGAATTGTTCTGTCTAGATTGTCACACAGCTCACAGAGCAGGTCCAGTCTTTAGACCACACCCTGAACAGTGATGTCCCAGCACTTCCCAGCTCAGCTCCATAACTGACAAGTGGAGGAGACACCTCCACGTCCTTACAAGGGTGAAGAAATCAATGCAAAAAGTCAAACTCACTTTCTTTTTTGAAAGCTAAAGGCGACAACAACTTTTTTCAAAATTATGATTCCAGCATGCCTCCATAAAGAAGCATAGATAATGCCTTGCCCAGAAAAGTCATCTGTCAAACAATCTACAGACTACATGGTCTCAGAAATAATGCATCCTAGTAAAACTAAAGTAGAGGAACCTTGTGCTTATATTTGTAATGCAGCAAACAGGTGCTTTGACATGTCAAAAACATGCACATACTAGAAATGAGAGCAGTGATATAAACC